GTGGTATAAATGCAGCCCATCTACTGTGGTATAAATACAGTTCCTATACTGTGGTATGAATACAGCCCATCTACTGTGGTATAAATACAGTTCCTATACTGTGGTATAAATACTTCCCATCTACCGTGGTATGAATACAGTTCCTATACGGTGGCGGGAATACAGTTCTTCCACTGTGGTATAAATAAAACTCATTTACTGTAGTATAAATACAGCCCATCTACTGTGGTATAAATACAGTTCCTATACTGTGGTATAAATACAGCCCATCTACTGTGGTATAAATACAGTTCCTATACTGTGGTATAAATACAGCTCATCTACTGTGGTATAAATACAGTTCCTATACTGTGGTATAAATACAGCCCATCTACTGTGGTATAAATACAGTTCCTATACTGTGGTATAAATACAGCTCATCTACTGTGGTATAAATACAGTTCCTATACTGTGGTATAAATACAGCTCATCTACTGTGGTATAAATAGAGTTCCTTTACTGTGGCGGGAATGCAGTTACTCCACTGTGGTATAAATAAAAACCCTTAAGTGTTGTATGAATACAGTTTTTATACTGTGGTATAAAAACAGGCCATCTACTGTAGTATAAATACAGCCCATCTACTATGGTATAAATGCAGTTCTTTAACTGTGTCGGGAATACAGTCCTCCCACTGTGGTATAAATAAAGTCCAATTACTGTAGTATAAATAAAGTCCCCTTTGTGTTGTACAAATAACCAGGTTAAATCTTTGGGCGTCGGTTCGAAACTTAAGTAAATAAATCGGGCGAATAAACTGGTGATGAGGTGATTGATATTTTGATTGTTGGACAATGGAACTCAGACCCTGAGCTGAGATGACATATAAAAAGACAGCTATTTAAGAACCCCCCATCATTTGAAATGGTTCACCCCTGATTACGTTCCTCCTTATGTTACGTTAGATCGTGCAAGCTGGTGTGGAAATTTACTGGCCTCATCCCGTTAACAATACACTTCATTCCTCCCACGGGATTACTCACCGTTCCGGTAAAACATTTAATAACCCAGCGACTACGATTACTTCTAAAAGTAGAGCCTGCAATCGTTCAAGGCTCGTGCTGTTCTTTGAACCCCGCGTCAATATGTAATGAACACCACTAAACAAGCATGTCACTTTCAGTAGATTTTACCTCATTGACTTTCGTTTTAGCATTTTTGTCACCAATTAAAACATAAATGTGGATGGTTCACAGATATTTTGACAGTAAACGGGCAAAATTAGTTTATAATTACACATAATGGATATTCCATTAAAACGTGTTACGTTCAGAGTTTAATGTTTGGAATGATGTTTGTCATTTTCTCCATTACTTTTTTATTTCGGGATTTTTTATGAAATGTTTTTCCAGTCGAAAAGATAACATACAAGGATCCTCTTTGAAAGCAGTTAACCCGCCCACCACCGTGGACCATCACAGATGGGTGGATACTAAATGTATCATAGACTCGGGGTAGTTCGGCAAAATCAAACAATACTTAATGGTTATAATAATCAGGAGAAAACGTACTCGCCGTGAGCTTATTTTCGAATGAAACTAAGTGACATTTTTCGATGAAATAAAATATATATTTAAGTAAAATATTCTCATAAATCGCGATTTTTTGTTTAATTTTAAACCAAATAAGCACATAGGTCCTGATCAATATTATTATTAAAACATATGAAAAAAAAGTGATGTCAATTATTTTTGTTGCGAAAGTTGATTTTTGAAGTTGAGGGAAAAAGTACTAGTACACAGTATTCAATTCATGGGATTGCTCCATAGAAATATGTGACGTCATTTTTTAGATTGTTTTGAAAATATAAATCAGTATTTTGTTTTCACAGTCTTGTCGGGAACTTTGTTGTGAGATTATCCTAGGAGAATCCCTTTAAAATGGAGGTTGAATGTCTTGTGTATAGATGACAGGATTTGGAAAACGGATGAACAAAATATATGCACGTAT